GATTCCCCCCACCCTTGTTCCAACTCTCCCCCCATGGTGGGCTCCTCCACCCTGTTGTATAACCGTAGTTCAAGTTTAGTTGAGATTCCTTCATTGCAAGCATACACCAAGCATAGAGTCCAGCATCTCACTGTCTGGTCAAGTTCAGCAGCTTCTTGGGGAAATCCTTCCCGGTCCGAAGGCAGAGCCAACAGAGTAAAATCCCGGTCCATTAAAAGCCCCAACATAACATCAGCAACAATATATAACATTAAGGGATAAATTGACAAGGTATTGAGCAACCAATATGTCAAAATTGGATGCAAGGTCTTAACAAATTCCTGTGGCTATTTCAATGACATTTCAACAATTGAGGTGCAAAACTGTTTTAGGAGGAGTGTGCAGAGAAATCTTCCATACCCTGGTGTGAGGAGTACTTAATTCCCGTGTCCTACCTAGTAAGGTGTGTGTGAGTCCATGCTGACCAAGCCTTCCTTATTGTTCTCTGCCTATCCATTCCAATTTGTGAGTGAGTGAGTGAGTGAGTGAGTGAGTGAGTGAGTGAGTGAGTGAGTGTGTGTGTGTGTGTGTGTGTGTATGTATGTGTATATGTGTGTATGTGTGTATGTGTGTGTTGGGGGAGGGGCTCTGGAGTGTCCCTCATGGTCACTGCAGAGAGGGTGGGGACCCGAAGTTGAAACTAAGTAAGAACCAAAAAAAAAACTAAACTCTGTCTGCATGAAAATTCAAAGAATCCTGGCTTCACAGAAGCACATCTCTGGTCGTTGTGGCTACTTGGAGAGTGAACCAGTGGATGGATCTTTATGTCTCTTTGTAAATCTGATTTTCTTTCTTTTTTTAAAATTTATTTTTAAATTTTATATCATTTTATGACTCAGTTCCATATTTTCAAATAACAAAAAAATAAAATAAAAAAATTCTTACTAAAAAAATGTGTTTAATGAAATAAGGAAATATGTCCCTAATCTAGAGAAAGCACTGGGAAACATCCAGGAAGGACACAGAACCCCCAACAGGGCTGACCAAAAGCAATCTTCACCAAGACACATGATAATCAAGCTCTCTTCAATCCAACATAAGGAAAAGACCCTTATATTTGCTCGTGAAAAAAATCAATTGATATATAGAGGAATGGCAATTTCTCTCACAGGAGACCTCTCACAGGAAACTCTACCGGCCAGAAGAGAACGGAGTGACATATTCTAAAAGCAAAAAAATTCTAAAAGCAAAAAATTGTCAGCCCAAATTAACATACCCAGTAAAGCTTTCCTTTGTCTTTGAAAATGAAATAAAGTTCTTCCACAGTAAAGTTACAAGAATATGCCTCTTCCAAACTTGCCCTACAAATGATAAAGATGTTTTCTTGACAGAGAAGAGGAATGGCACTCACCAAAAACCAAGTAAGTGTCTTAAGTACTCTGTATGATACTCCTAAGTATCTTTTATTAGTAGCCAACCAGCAAGAAGATACATATGTAACAAAGCCAGACCCAGTAGTCCTCTGTCTCTCCCTCCTCAGCAACAAGTACAAGGAAAAGAGAGATTATGAGGCCAGCTAGGCCTGAGTTCATGATTAAATTACTCAGCCCTATAATCCAAGCAAGTGTGGGAAGACTCACTGCCAAGTCCTCAGTAGTATGGATGTTTGCGCAACCACGCCTCAAACTAAGACAGTAGACTTAAATGGCCAAGAAATGTACAGAAACATGAGGTCAATGGCAACTGTTTCCCAAATCAGACTCCTGAAGTGAGACTGACACTTGGACAGGGCCCTCTCAGGCTGCACCCTCAGGCAGAGGACTCTTTCCACACAGACACTGAGAGGTTGGCACCTGAATGTCGTCTCTCGCAAGCCGTAGTCCATGCCTGCGAGGCAGTGGTCCCTTGGAGAGTCACACGGCCTTACATACAGAGCAGACAGCACTCAGCGGCAAGCAGCCTCTCCCTTGGTGGGAACCACACCGGCTTCAGGACACAATGTCACTCATTGTTTCAGACTGGCTTTTGGTTTTCTCTCACAAACTGCTTTTTTGTGTGCTGGCCTGGAATCCTGGCCTTCCTCTATACATACCAGTATTTGAGCAGGTGCATGCACATTGGGGGCATAACTTATTTGCAGTCACAGAACCATTTGCAATTCTTCCGCAGGTCTGATTCTAGCAACATGACTAGTCATGAACTGGAAGGTCAAGGATACTTTTCAGTTGAAAACTAATGAATAATAGTCGGCACTGTGGCACGGCACACTAATCCCCTGCCTGCAGCACAGTAGGCTAATCCTCTCCTCTGCCTGTGGGTGCTGGTTTGAGTCTCAGCTGCTCCACTTCTGATCCAGCTCTCTGTGGTCTGGGAAAGCAGCAAAGGATGCTTAAGTGATTGTGCCCCTCTACCCATGTGGGAGACCTGAAGAAGCTCATGCTTCCTGGCTCCTGTCTTCAGATTGGCCCAGCTCCAGCTATCACAACCATTTAGGGAGTGAACCAACAGGTGGAAGAACTCTGTTTCTCCTCTCTGAAGATCTTTCAAATAAAAATAAAATAAATATGAAAAAAAACAAAAAAAATACCAAATAACACTAACGATACCAACACTGTCTAACGGCTGCTGTCAGGCATCTGGTTAAAAAGATTTATTTTTATTATTTTTTTTTATTGGAAAGGCGGATATACAGAGAGGAGAGACAGAGAGAGGAAGATCTTCCGTCTGATGATTCACTCCCCAAGTGAGCACAACGGGCCGATACTATGCCGATCCAAAGCCAGGAGCCTCTTCCGGGTCTCCCACGCGGGTGCAGGTTCCCAATGTTTTGGGCCGTCCTCAACTGCTTTCCCAGGCCACAGGCAGGGAGCTGGAAGGGAAGCGGGGCTGCCGGGATTAGAACCAGCGCCCATATGGGATCCCGGGGCGTGCAAGGCGAGGACCTTTAACCACTTGCGCCACTGTGCCGGGCCCGTCAGGCATCTGGTTAAGACACTCAACACCCACTATCTTTCGGTCCTCCAGATAACCAAAAGAGGTGAATACCAACTGCTGTTTTACAATTGAAGAAACTGGGGCCTCCTGAGATTTAGGCTGATTCATGGTTACTCAGCTAGTAAAATGCAGAGCTGAGAATCAAACCACACTGAGAGGGAAAAGCAACAAGAGCTAAAATTTGACTTCATATGGGTAAAAACAGAAGAAAACGATACTGTCACCAAAACATCACTGAAAGCTCTAAGAATCTGTGGTATTCAATAGTTACATATTTTTAAACTTACCAGAATTGCCCAACACTCCCCAGATACAAAAGCGAGATCACTCACTTCCACAGAAAGGCATAGGTATTGATCCCCCAAGTCAACCGAGCCTGAGGTCAGAGTCACAAGGGATCCAGGGGCTGTGCCCCTTGTTGACCACAGGTTCTGCCTGCTCCTCTCCTTCCCAGGCAGGTCCTCAGGGCCTCACTAACCACAGCCCAACGACTCTGCAAAGACGACCCTGGCCAACAAGCTGAGGGTGGTTCTTACCTGCCATGTTGATGGCAAGAAAACAGACCAATCTCTGACATCCTCAAACCTCAATGGGAGGAGGGAAAACAAAAAACAGAAAAAGCCAAAGCTTTTAGTAATACTTCAGATATTACTTTAGAGGCACTGATACGTATTTACATGTTCTGCTAAATGCAAATACATTTAAAGCTGTCTTCTAAAGCTGCTCACTTGTTTAAACTTCTGTGCAGTCAGAATGACTTTAAATACTGTTATGTTCCCACTACCAGTTAATGGTGAGCTACAGTTTATAAACAGTCTGTAACAGACTATGGATGAGTCCCTTTATCTTATAGTTAGTTAATATGCTCTTTACCATTATTGTGGTTAATTAGTGCACTCTTCCTTACAGCATGAACTTCTGCTTGTACTGAACTTTTGACAGAGAAAAAGTTTCAGAGGTCCAGCACTGTGATGTGGTGAGTAAAGCCACTCCCTGTAAGCCTGGCATCCTGGTTCTTGTCCTGGCTGCTCCATTCTGATACAACTCCCTGCCAGTGGCTCAAGGAAATTAGAAGATGGTCCAAATGTTTGGGACCCTGTCACCCACATGGGAGACCTGGGTGAAACTCCAGGCTGCTAGCTTCGGCCTGGTCCAGCCCATCTGTTGTCGCTTTTGAGGGAGTGAACCAATGGATGAAAGGTATTTCTGTCTCTTGCTGTCACTCTGCCTTTCAAATAAATAAACAATAAACAATTTCAAATACTTATAAGAGATAGATATAAACCTATGAGTACGAAGATACTGGAAGGGGAAATCCCTGAGCCTGTGGAACTGTGTCACGAAAAAAAATTTTTTCAAGTGTTATTTTCATAGTAGATTTGGTTTTCCCACCTTGTTAGGATAATGCAGTAACTTTAAGAAAAAAACTTCACTTAAAAAAATGTGTTGTTAATTTTGTCATCCTTTTCACAACCTGGCAATTTGACCAAGCCACAAAGCAACACTCAATGTCTTACTTCAAGTCAGCATAGCACTGCGGAGGGCAGGTGACAGTGGCAGAACCTCAGAGTGTAGAATTCTGGCTAAGATATCAAGAGATGTTAGTTGGTGAATTTCTAACCCGTGCCAAGGTCTTTACACATCATTTTACCTAATGCCAACAGTGCACATGTGGAGATATAGAGAACTGAGCCCCCACAGAAGACAAATGTCACTCCCTGGGAGCCACCAGCTCATCAGAGAGAGAGAGAGAGAGAGAGAGAGAGAGAGAGAGAGAGAGAGAGAACGTGCAGGAATATGACACTTTGTACACTAAAACATTGAAAAGTGAAAATCGAAGGATTTAAATTACTGGCCACAGGTCACATGCAATTAAATAGCAAGGGCAGAAGCAGGGTAGAACCCTAACTTCCAGAGCCTCCAGCTCTTTGTGTTCAGGAGAGAGTTACATGGGGAAAAGCTCCAAATGGGATCTCCTTGTGGGATGGAATGCCACCAACACCTCCCCGGTACCTGCCAGTACTCACGGCATTCTTGTGCGGCCCTGATGCACACCTCCTCTGCTGTGTACTCCCCACTGCCCAGTCGGAGGGACTCCCTGTCCGACAGATAGAAGACAACTTCCACCCCAGGTTCAGGGGCCTCCAGATCCACCTCGGTCCTCCTGGAGCTCCTCATCCTAGCACAGAAAGCCATGGCATTGCAGTCCTCTTTTATATTTAGATACTGTAATGGAAGGAAGAGGAGACCATGTAGTCATCGTATGTGGTGCAGTTTCAAACAACAAGATAACACTGTGCAAGCAAGCACACAGAACACCTGTTCCTGGGGAAGTACCCGTCCCCAACCCTCCCGTGCCTGAAAAACCAGACACGTCAGAGCTCTCAAGGGGTGAGAACAAGGTGAGAAATTAATGAGCACTAGCTATTTAACCATAGCCAGAACACATGCCTAAAAATCATAGTTTTAGACACAATCTGAATTTATTTTCCCATACATGCTGTATGTGAAAAACACAGCCCAGTATGGAAACAATGATATTAACAGGTTTACTGTTAGTTACTAATATTACCTCTACTGGAATCATACTTTTTAAATAAACCAATGGTACAAACCATAGTCTCACATGCCTATACTCTGCCGAACAGCAAGCTTAGTGCTGCATGTTAAATGTCCTATCTAGCCTCATGTCCCCTCTGGGACAGTGCACACAGAATGACTCCCACCTATGGTCAGAAGACACATGGAAGGGCAGTGAAAGTGAAGGGATGGAGCCAAATCCCCATCACCCATACACAGGCAGGCAGCAGAACAAGCATAGGAAGTTTTGCTCAGGGCAGTTCAGAACCCAGACAACAAGTCTGCAAGTTAAGCTGCCCCTGTGAGTACCCCTCTAAAGGGAGCGTGACTAGGACAAAGAGCCCAGTTCAGTAATGGAGCCTTGGGCAAAGCCAGAAAGGAGCAAGGAACAAGGGAAGGTTCTCTCCTCCCCTTGCTTCAACACCAATGGCCTACGAACTACTTTCTCCAGCTCCGGACTCCTGCGTGGTAGGCCAACCTTTGCTTAATTGCAAAAGAAGTCTTGGTAACAGGCATCAACCCCTCAAATGGCTACCTGCTAATCTTCACATGGTTTCTCCAACTCTGTGACAGAGATCCTATATGACCCGGCCAGTAGTCATCTCATATCACCTGTTTCTAATGTTTCTAATGTTTTTAAAGGATGACATAAACTATGTGAGTTAAAACCGAAAGATGAGCATGATGTACTACAACAAAGAGAAAAACAGCAAAAATATGTGTATTGTGGTCCTTTTGGTAATGCACTTGAACAATATACAATAAATCATTAGTAAGTACTTTATATCCAGGAGACATGACAAGAAATGTTTAGCTTTTATTTTAGGCTTCATATATTTTCATACTGTTGAGATTTCTTCTTAATCAACATATTTGCTACTGATATTCGTCACTGATATTCATCACTGGGAATGAATAAAAAGCTGATTTAAAAAATTTTTATTTTATTTTAAGTTTTTTGATGATGTATACATGGCTGGAAAGGATGCATGCCCATGTGGACCACTGATTAAGGTGGGAGGGGCTGAGGAATAGGGGAAAGTGGAGGAGATCATTGTTTCTAATTTATTCTTCTTCCTGTATCTGGGGAAGGGAGACAGAAGAGGGGAGAGATGGGGAACAGCCACACCCAGCATCCCAACCACATTAGTCCCGGGAGTGTGGGGGGCATGGCCACCCAATATCATCCCAGAGTCCCCAACATGAAGCATGCTCCATAGGTACTGCCCTTTTTTTTTTTTTTAAGTAAAAGCATCAATACAGAAAACCCTATAGGTTTAAGATCACAATTTCATCATTCTTTTAAACTATTTTTCCTGTTTTTAATATGGGGAAAGCTACATACCTGCATTTATCCGGCTGGCCAATGTCTCCCAAACAGCAGACTGAATGTTCTTCTCTATTTTGCAAACCACATTTAGAGCTGAGCTAAAGACAAAAATAAAGAAAGAAATAAACAAATCAGCTGCAGGGCTAATTGTATCCAAAAATAAGGACACTTCCATTAGGGAAGCAGCCAAACTGAAAGTGGCAGAAAAAAGCAAGCATTTGGGAGGAAGAAAGCAAGCAAAGACTGCTGAGGACCCCCAAGGGAACAGAGACCTCACAGGCAGCAGACATCTGAGAAGGTCTGGTCTCCACTCTGCTGGCATGAGGCAGTGGAGACTACGGTGTACCTCTAACAACCTCTCCTCACTGCTGCAAACTTCACCTCAGGACACCCACGGATGGCTCTTCCACTGGCAATGCACTTTTCCTTAGAATTACCCCCTCCTCAACCCAGGCTGAGCACAGGTCTACTTTTTTTTTTTTCCTTTTAAGAAAAAAGTAATTTTCCTAATATTTTTCCTTTTTTTAAGCAGTAGAATCACAAAGAGCGAGCTTCGAATCTTAGTCATTTGAAATCGGTTCGCAAGTTATCACTGATTTTGTTTCAATTTTCTGTCCAGTCCTTCAACACATTTGATCGGAATGCAGTTTCAGGAAGAGCAGAGCCCCAGGCATCACACAGCTGTAGGGGCGTGGGGAGACAACCCAGCAACCGGTTACTGCTGAGGCTGGAACCAACCTTCCCACAAGATGAGACACACAGCACAGAGAACATAAAAGCTGCCCAAAACACAGTGTCATCCCTGGCACCTGTGCTAACTCCAGTGACAGTGCTGACAAAAGCTCACTCAGGAAGACTTTCTGCAGTGGGTAAAACCTAAAGAAAGCAACAATGGGAGGCCAGGTAATGGACATTGTACTAATTTTGAAATTAAGACCTTGGTTTGCCTATTTCGATATGAACAATTTTAGCCAGCATATACGAACTAGCCCTATATCCGGTTTTTCAGAGTTTAACATAATCAATGTTAAGCATGTGAACTAATACCCTGGCCTTCCTTAAAACAGCAATTAGAGGTCTGCTAATTATGAACATCTTGCACCAACTCAGAAACAAAGCTTCAGGTGTGGAAAATAATGCCACAATAACTTAAGCTGCCGCTTGGATGCTGGTTCCAGTCCCAGCTGCTCCACTTTCAGCTTCCTACTAACGTCTCTTGGGAGGCAGGAGATAACAGCTCAAGTGCTTGGGTCTGTGCCACCTATGTGAAAAAACCCACAGACCACAGGCTTCAAAGCCTGGCCCATCCCTGACCATTGTGAAATGTAGGGAATTTCTGGGAAGACAGAAGTTCTGTCACCCAGTCTATGTCTGTGTATCTCTCTTTCTGCCTTCCAAGTTAATGAAAATTAATAAACTTTCTTTCTTTAAAAAAGCAAAGCTTCAAATACTGTATTTAGAAGACTTATCCACCCAGCAAGTATTATTGAGCAACTGTCCATGCCCAAAGCTGAGCTAGCTCAGGAGCCACAACCAAGAACAAGAGCATTGAGCTTACACCTACAGAACGAGAGTCAAACCATGATGCACAGACAGAGGTTATTACCCACCCTTTCCCCCAAGAAAACCAACTCAAACTGGTATGAAGGAAAACAAGAAAACACAGGGGAAATGTGTTCCAGTCTGGGGCTCAGGAACCATGTCTGCAGAGGCTCAGCATGAGGCCAATAACAAGAAAGCAATCTGGGCAAGAGGATCAGCTTATGCTAAGGCCCCACGGAGGAAGAGTTAGTCTTGTCTACCCACTGCATGAAGAGGGAAGCCTTCTGCAATATTCCTTCTGCACTCCTGCACAGAAGAGCATGAGCCAACTCAAAGGCAGTACCTGCTAAAGATGCATGTGGGGCTTTCAACCCAAGGTTTCTCAGCAGCCCAGCATTATCCACTGCTGCTAAGGATGAATGAAAACCGACTGGAGCACCCTCTGCTTCGCAGCATTAAGCACGTATCCCAAGCCAAGGAAGGAATACGCACTCAAAGCTTTTGAGGGGAAGAAGGGATTCAAGAGTCCCACCAGGTCCAGACCCTTTTCAGAAGGGACATAGCATAAGCCTTCATGGAACTGAAAGGCTTTTTAACGTGTACCATCACAAATCATGTGTTGTTGGAGTTTCGAAGTCATAGGGTTTCTCTGGGCCTTGTGTAAGATTCTAGGGTCAGACTCAAATTACTAAGATTCCTCTAGAACTAGTACATCATGAAAACTTGTCATTAAGGAGAGTAGTTTTCCTGCCATTCTTTTGCTACCACATAAAACAGTACAGTGAAATCACATTGCATCCAGTTTCCAAATGAACTCTAACATTGCTGGACAGGATAACAAAATGGGATGGGCTCATGATGCTCAGCCTTATACTCTCTGGCAAAACAAGATTAGCAACAGAATTTATGAATGATGCATAGACTACGATGCTTCGTGTTTCCGTATGCTGATCCAGTAGCAACAAAGGCCCTAATCTCAGGAAACTGACATTCTAATGATAAATATTTTAAAATAAAACCACTCACAAAGCACTTTAAAAGGATGCCAGACAATATTGTAAGCATGTTAGACCTGGGTCTGCTGGTGGACTTCATACAAAATGACAACTGGGCTCCTAAGTATTATAGCATTTCTACAATGGCTCCATCCAAGCCACAATGCTTTCAAAATAAACCAGGCAACATGATCTAGCTGATTATTTTTGGAGCAGATGCAAAAAAGAACAACATTAGTTTGTAAATGCTTTGAATTTTAAAAAATCAAGTTTTTAAAATTTTTTTCTGAAAGGCAAATTTTACAGAGAAACAAAGAGAAAGATGTTTCATCTGCTAATTCATTCCCCAAAGGGCCACAATGGTCAGAGCCCAGACAATGGGAAGCCAGGTGTCAGGAGCTTTCTCTAGGTCTCCTACTTGAGCACAGGGTACTAAGGCTTTGGGTTCTTCTCCTCTGCTTTCCAGGCCAAAAGCAGGAAAATGGACGGGAAGTGGAGCAGCTGGGACACAGGGTCCTTGTGCTTGCAGGTGGAGGATTAGTCAATTGAGCAACTGCACCAGACCATCATTTTAAGTTTCTTACTACAAGTCACAAAAGGGAGATCTTCAACGCTAGAGAAACTGTTCAGTGGACATCACAACATGTCCTTTTTTAAGAATATGATCTACTAGCTCTAAATTGTAACTGATATGAATTCAAAGACTCAGAAAATGGAAAGGATAGGGTCCGGCACAATACCCTAGTGGATGAATCACTGCCTTGCTGGGATGTGCTGGGATCCCATATGGACGCTGGTTCAAGCCCTGGCTGCTCCACCTCCCATTCAGCTCCCTGCTTGTGGCCTGGAAAAGCAGTGGAAGATGATCCAAGAGCCTTGGGACCCTGCAGCCACATGGGCGACCCAGAGGAAGTTCCTGACTTATATTGGCTCCGCTCCAGCAACTGTGGCCACTTGGGCAGTGAACCAGCAGATGTAAGATCTTTGTTTCTTCTTCTCTTTGTTAATCTGCTCTGCCAGTAAAAATAAATAAATCGAAAGAAAGAAAGAAAGAAAGAAAGAAAGAAAGAAAGAAAGAAAGAAAGAAAGAAAGAAAGAAAGAAAGAAAGAAAGAAGAAAGAAAGAAAGAAAGAAGAAAGGATAGAGAAAAGGACAGATGAATTCTCAAGCTTTTTGATATGAATTATTCCACCCTTATTTGCTTATAAATTATCAAAGATCTCAAAGAAAATATTTTTCTCCATGAAAGAGTGGCTCATTTCTGTTATACAGAGAAACAAAGCAAAATAGGAAAATTCTGATTTCTCACATTTCTTTTAGTCTGTCACATTCTTATGCAAAAGAGAAGTGTAACTGATACTCTGAAGGAGGGGGAAAAGAAAGAAATAAATCACAGAGCACTGTCCATCAAAGCAGTACCAAACTGCGACACCTGGCACAAATCCTTTCCCAAGATGAAAAATTTCAGAAATATCTGTTTGAATATACTAAAACGCATCTGAATTCTAGATAGCGGATAAAATAACTTTCTAAAATTTATTTATTTATATGGGAATGTCAGATGTAGAGAGGAGGAGAGACAGAGAGGAAGCTCTTTCATCCGTTGATTTACTCCCCAAGTGGCTGCAACTGCCAGAGCTGAGTTGATTCAAAGTCACAAGCCATGGAGCCCCCACCAGGTCTCCACGCGGGTGCAGGGACTCAAGGCCTTGAGCCGTCCTTGACTGCCTTCCCAGGCCACAAGCAGGGAGCTGGATGGGAAGTGGAGCTGCTAAGATTAGAACCAGTGCCCATATGGGATCCCAGCATGTGCAAGGTGAGGACTTCAGCCACTAGGCACTGTGCTAGGCCCCAGAATATCTATTTTAATGCCAAAAATAGAATTATCAATATGTAATTGCTTTTTGTCAAGTCACTGTCAGGTTTACAAACTATGTGATATTTATACACTATGTGATGGTCAAAATCAAGGACAAGGATTATTAATAAGATATTGTGGGTATCTGATTATTTTCAACAAAGACACCATCATATTTACTATATAAGAATCCAAGTTGCCTGGGGCCAGCAAGATGGCTCAAATGGCTAATCCTCCACTTTGAAGAGCCAGCATTCTACAGGGGTGCTGGTTCATGTCTCAGCTACTCCACTTCCCATCCAGCTTTTTGGTTATAGGCTGAGAAAGCAGAGGAGAATGACCCAAAGCCCTAAGACCCTGCACCCACATGGGAGACCTGGAAGAAACTCCTGGCTCTTGGCTTTGGATCAGCTTAGCTCCATCCGTTGTGGTCATCAGCAGATGCAAGATCTCTTCCTGTCTCTCCTTCTGTTAAATCTGCCTTTTCAATTAAAAAAAAATCTTAATTTTTAAAAAAAGAATCAACGCATTTAATTTTTAAAGTAGAAAATACAAATAAAGTGTCAATACTGAAATTGACTATCTCACACCTTTAAAGAATTTTAAGCCTGAAGATCTCAAACATTTTTACTTTAAAAATTATCGGGCCCGGCGCAGTGGCGCAAGTGGTTAAGGTCCTCGCCTTGCACGCCCGGGATCCCAT